GTATAATCTGCAATTAATTTTTCTTGTAACTACGGCATAGACCAGCATTCTGAATTATATACAAATCCTGAGTCCAATGTTAGTTTCATAAGCATGGTTCAAAAGTTACAGAAAATGTTAGAAAAAACAATAAAATGCCACTGTATAAATTTACAGTTAAAATTAAAAATCGGATTTACATGAAACTGAATGGCATGAAGAGTTAAATCCTATATAGAGAAACTGCTCACCTAGGTTCATGACTGAGTTTGTCATTATAGGGGTATTGAGGTTTTTTTAATTCTTTAGAATAACAATTTATTAAATGTATCGAGAAAAGAGAGCTGAACTCTGCCAATAAAAAAAAGAAAATTTGTTCCCTTAGAAGCATCAGCTCTAGATTTACATTAATCATATTTCAACTAATTTATTAGATAATCTATGCTAATTTGTCATAACATATAAAATACTTTTTAAGGTCTGTAATATCGGTTGCAACAACAAAAATATTCTTCTCAAAATTAAAAATGATCCGAAATTCTGTTTGTAGCATTACATTTACCAGCAGCAATTATAGTGCTTTCAATTACCTTGATTCAAGTGAAGTTACTAAGAGCATAAATTTTGAGAACCTAATAAATTAATTTGAAGTAAAGCAAGTCAGAAAAGTATTATTATTGTCAAGCCATTACACTACCAAAGTATTATTATATTTTTAGTGTTTTATACATTTAATAGCTGGGATATGTTTATTATATTAATGTACCTCAATATATTAATATACATTTGATTCTTTTTTTAATGTTTATATTGAGAGAGAGAGAGAGTGAATAGGGGGTAGATAGAGGGATAGAGAGTGAGAGAGAATCCTAAGCAGAATCCATGCTCAGTTTTTTTTTTTTTTAATGTTTTATTTATTCCTGAGAGAGACACACACACAGTATGAGCAGGGGAGGGTCAGAGAGAGAGGGAGATACAGAATCAAAACGGGCTCCAGGCTCTGAGCTGACTGTCAGCACAGAGCCGACACAGGTTTGAACCCACGAACTGCGAGATCATGACCCGAGGCAAAGTCGACCACTTAACTGACTGAGCCACACAGGCGCCCCCAATGCTCAGTTTTGAGCCTGACATGGAGCTCAATCTCACTACTGTGAGATCATGACTTGAGCCAAAATCAAGAGACAGAAGTTTAATCAGTTGAGTCACCCAGGCTCTCCATGCCTTTGATTCTTAAGAAATAAGAATATTTTTGTTTTTTGAATACCTTACAATACACATGCATACATTTTATATTACAAAAGACAAAATAACTTTATAGCAATATGAAGCTACCATTTATTGTGTTTTCAAATATCACTTAAGGGTAAATTTCATTGGGGAAGAAAAAGTATTTGGGATACTATTTCCACACAGATCCACTTCTAAGACTTGAAGATAATGCTGCAATTTATTTTATATAATGGAAAATATCACTCTTATGACAAATGTGATTGACATTATTTAAATTAAAAACTATACTACTACAATATTACTGTATATTATATTATGGAAACTATTTTTATATAACAAATTTTCTAACAATGTTTTTGCATATTGTAAATTTATGTTTTTGCTTATATATTATTATAAGTTTTATTGTGTTTTATAAGTAGAAAGAATTTTTAAAATATTTATTTATTTCAAACGAGAGAAAGAGATGATGGGGAAGAAGCAGAGGGAGAAAGAGAGAGAGAGAGAGAGAGAGAACGAGAATCCCAAAGAGGCTTTATGACCAACATCGAGCTAAATGAGAGTTCAGTTTTGGGCTCCGTCCTCAACTGTGAGGTAATGACCTGAGCCCAAATCAAGACACTTAACTGACTCAGCCATCCCTGCACCTTTGAGCCACCAAGTCACCCTGATAAGTAAGAAGATTTAAAAAAAATTTTTTTTTAACGTTTATTCATTTTTGAGAGACAGAGTGTGAACAGAGTGGGAGGGAGACACAGAATCCAAAGCAGGCTCCAGGCTCTAAGCCGTCAGCACAGAGCTCAACATGGGGCTCAAACCCACAAACTGTGAGATCATGACCTGAGCTGAAGTTGGTAGCTTAACCTACTGAGTCATCCAGGTGCCCCAAGAAGATTTTTTTAAAGAGAGCTTTTTTTATATTTTATTACATAATGTAACATCTTTTCCTGTTTTTTCAACATGGAGCTCCAAATTTTCTGTTTCATTGTGTACCACCAGTTATATAGCCAGCTCTGTGTGGGAAGTTTGATACCCAAGTAAAGCTAGAATGAGAGAGCTAGAAGCCAGAAAGCAAACAGGCTGTATGAGAAGGTATTTGTTGCTTTCCATACATGTGAGTAAGCTCATCCACCATGGAGCCCACCCCAGCTCACTGTCTGGGGTGAATCTTATACTCAGTGAGTGAAGTTCCATTTTATTCCATTTTCTATAGATTGGGATCCTCCTTGATCCATCTTTGGTCTCATAGAGGAAAAGAAAACCCAGAGAGGATCTGACCCTGAAGACTGTCTCTGCTTCTCAAGAGGCTCTAGGGTTGGTTGGGAGCAACCTGAGACCCACTCGATCCCATGTGGTTGTGGAACTGGTCTTGGGTTCCATGATTCAGGCACTTTCTCCCCACACTCACACCAGCCCACACTGCTCACAGCCAGTCCTCAAAAGACTTGCTTTGTTACATAGTATGAAAGAAATGTAGAACCGGAAGAGCCCTTAGAAAGGCGTTAGTCCACCTCATTTTACAAAACAGAGGCTGTATCCAAGAGGACAGTGTGGAACAATTAGGTTGTCAATGAGCCAGGAGAGAAAGAAACTGGGTTTCCTCACTTCTTGGCACGCTTGCCCCTGCCTCCTTGCTGCAGGGCCATCCTGCTGGGAAAGAGACGTGTTAATGCAAGCCCAGGCACTGAGGTCTCTGCAGTTGGGGTCTGGGAAAGCCATGGTCCAATCAGTTTGATTGCCTGAGGAGAGTTGCAATTTATGTTAAATGTCTAACACGTTCGGAAGGAAGGAGGACTCAGGCTGAGCCACTGTGATTCTACCAGCAAACTCACCCACCACTCACTGGTTTCTGGAGGAGGAAGCCAAAGGTGACGGTGTCATATGAACATCTATATGCATTTTGAAGGCCGTTCCTAAAAAAAGCAGATATATGTGTATCCCAGGTGGACATCTCTTGAAAGCAAGATGTGAATATAGAGCATCACTAATCCATCGTTATGAAATGTAATCACTGCATTGGGAGACAAGGGAGAACATTGTGCTTACGCAGCTGGCTGTCCATGAAGCTATTACAAAAAGCCTTTCCAGGTCAACACTTTTTGATGATGAGTCAGGCAATAATCAATGAAATAATCATGGGGCTATGAATTTTGCCCACGGGATGATTATACTTGTGCTACAGCTCATATATAGGATGTTGTGCTAAATAGAGTATAATCATATTATGATGTTCAGTTCTAGATAACAAAACTCAAAAGAGAAAATATTAACTTAACGTATACATCTCCAAGAAGAGAGACACCCACCCAAAAGAAGGATTTGGGAATTCTACCCTATGGAGGGTAGATAAGAAATAGAGGAAGAATCTTAGGATGGAGATATTTTACATATGTAAAAATACACATTTAATATTTACAGACAAATTTATATGTTGATTTTGATTCTTCAGAACTCTTCAGAGTTGTCCCCAAAGTTCTAAGGGTGTGAAATGTGGATGAGGATTTTTTTTATTCTGCATAATTCCAGAGGACTGGTGAGTACAATCTCAGGAAAAGGGCTTCCACTTGATGGAGGTGAAGCGGTCTTGATTATTCAGAAATCAGCTCTCATGATCAGTAGTCTAACTATAATACACCCTGGGGCAGGCATGGCAAATTTAGGCTTCCCTAGATAGTCTTTCTTACAGATGTAATTGGAAAATATCAAGTTATTAAAGTAGATGAGAAATTTTTTTTTTTTGACAGAAAGGGATGGTTCTGGAAATCTACAAGACTAAAAACTTTATCAATATCTTGGGGAAAATTCTCCACTGTACTGCAGTTTGGAAGAAAAATGACACAGTATGGAATCTGAACCAACAATGGCCAAGGCATCAGAAATCTATGCTAGGAGAGATGGCTTACACTTTAGAGGAATCTCCACGAAGGATTTGAGTCACTTACTGCAATTATGACCTGACATCCTTTTTGAGATCAGAAAATAAAAAGCATCTGTAGAATAAATTTACGTATAGCTACATGTTCTGAATCTGAAGTCTGATGTATTGTGAGAATTTCTGGTCTTTCTCCCAATACTTTGCAATATACAATACACATAGTAATAGAAATAGATTTCTTAAGGGATGTCAGATTTCCCACCACAAATCAACCAGGTCAATGGGTCAACCTGTTTCCTAACTCATGGAACTTTTCCCCCTGCTACTTTGCCATTGAGATTCTTATGACAGTCATCTTAGCTGAGGGAGGATTCCACATTTTGACGTCAGGTACTGTCACTTCTCTGGAAATTGCCAGGTCGCAGGCAAGACCAGCTCAGACGACCAGAGTCTGGGATAAAAGGCATTTGAAATATTTATTCTCTGGCTTACATGTTCCTTTTAGGAAGAGTTTTTCTCCATGATAGACAAATGAGGATGGTAGATTTGGCAGAAAGGGAAGGTTTTCTGTTTTCTTTATTTAAGAGAGTGAATCATGATTCCTTCCTCATTTCAGACATATACACCAGGCCCATCATTGAATAAACAGCAATAGGATCTACCTCTGTAGAACTTAACAGTGACTCAGTAATGTGCAGAGATACCAATCTTAAGTTTTACATTCTTCCTGTGCACTTATTCTCTGATCTAAAATGTAATTTGTTTGACCTATTGCTGCCATTATGTATTTGAGCCCCTCGGAGGCACAGGGTGGAGAAGAACCTTCTGCAGGGAGCTGAGCACAGACGTGACCACCAGAGGGTAGTGCGCCTGAGCTGACGGGGACCAGGCGGAGGCATCTGCATGACTAGGCTCTGGCCCAAGCACAGTCGTCTTCTTATTGGCTGCTGGACACGTGGGAACCCGCTCTGACTGGTGGGGGAAAGAAGGGCTGGCCGGTACTGGAAGTAGCTGTGCGGGCTGGAGGAGGCAGTTCTGAAACTGATGGTCACAGGGAGGAGCCATGAGGGCGTCCCTGGGGACTTTCGTCCTGCTCTTGTGGCTGTCGCTGCACTGTGAGTTGAGCGTTTATGGGGAATTAGTGGATATTCTTCAGATGTCAAGACTGGTTTTTTTTTTGTTTCCTCCAGTTAGTGGAGGAAAAGGGAATTCTGCAGCATAATAACCTGGGAACTGTTCTCCTTTCTCTGACCTTCTCTTTGTGCACAGGGCTCAGCCGAGGACAGAAGGTGGAGCAGCATCCTTCCACCCTGAGTGTCCAGGAGGGAAGCAGCTCTGTTATCACCTGTAGTTACTCAGACAGCGCCTCAGACTACTTCCCTTGGTATAAGCAAGAACTTGGAAAAGGTCCCCAGCTCATTATAGACATTCGTTCAAATGTGGCCAGAAAAGAAGAGCAAAGACTCACTGTTTTATTGAATAAGACGACCAAGCATCTGTCCCTGCACATCGCAGCCACCCAGCCTGCAGACTCAGCGGTCTACTTCTGTGCAGCAAGTACACATTGCGTCCCAGACACCTGCCGCCTGTGCTCAAACCTGCTACGGGGCAGCCCCTGTCCTTTGACACAGACCTTCAAGTAGGGAATTTGTGCTATTGTTTGTCTGCAGGCGGTAGCTGATGTATTAGAGATAAAAGCATAACATAAGGCTCTTGGGCCCAAGATGACCCAGACAGGGTTTGAACATTTTCTTGGATGATTGCTGCTTAATGTTTGAAGGGAGTTAGGAAGTTCTATTTTGAAAATCAGTTCTTAAAGGTAACTTTGCATTTGCTATTCAGACTCCTGTCATACAAACAACTCCTTGGTAAATTATCACATTCCTATCATGGATTAGCTTTCAACTCTTGTCTTTCCATTACTGCAGATGTTATTTTTGGTCTGTTATAAAACATTAGATGCTAAATATAAAAAATATGTAAAAAGCAAAGTGTGAAATTGATCGTTGTGTACCCAGGTATTTTAGTATTAATGTTTGGTTTACTCTCTTACATTGTAATAACTTGGATTCTTTGTTTTTCCACTCAATGTTATATCCTGGACTGAGCATTCTCCTCTAACACCTGAGTTTTTAATAGCTCTGTGAGAGATTTTCAAGAGTCACAGTTATATTTTTAATAATCTTCCTCTTCTATCTTTCTGGCAAAATTTGGCAGTCCTTTTTATGTGTTCTTATTATTTTCTTGTTGAGATAATGTGACCTGGGATTTTTTGAGAGCCCAGTGATGGTATGTAATTTATGTGTATTTGAGGGAAATTAAAAGCAGAAGTGATTTATTCAAGAATTTGAGTTGAGAACTAGACTCTTTTCAACATTTTGTTAGTATATGTTCACATTTACATTCATATAATTTAGAAGACAAAGTTGTGTCTTTAATCATTATTATATAGCACAATCTTTTTTCCATAGTTGATCATTAGTAGATGTTTATTAAAGAAAGATGGAAAAGGGAAATTCTGCTATTTATTTAGAATTTTTTATGCTCTGTGATTAAATTAAATTTATAAGTTGATTTGTGAAGAATAAACTCCTGAAAGTCTCTGGTTATTGAAGGACATAGTATTTCCTTCTGTTTATCTATGTTTTTTTTTTTTCAATAAAGCTCCATTGTTTTATGGTAAAGAAACTTATTCCTAGGCACTTAATTTTTATTGTTCCTTATGACTGAAATCTTTCATTGTGGGATATGTGGAGAATTTTTTCATATACATTCATCATCCACCTTACTTAAGTCTAACTAGTGGATTGCAGAAGGCATTTAGATTAGCATTTATTGTAGAGATAACTTGCTTCGTGCTTTGACAGAATTAAACATTACATGTGCAGGTGTTTTTGTTAAAGGTAATTCTTTTAGTGTTGAAGGTAGAATCAGTGTAAGGAAAGAAGTTATGTAAATAATTAATTCCCTAATTCTCCCAACCCTGCTCAAGGGCTGAGTATTTTCAAAGTATCTCATATTCTTCTTAAAGATGGGTACAATTGGTGATGTGGTAGGTGGGAATGCGCCCTCTTGGCTGAGTTATGGCGGTCAGTTATAAGCTAACTGGTTGGTTCTTGTAAGTTAAATTAGGTTCAAAATATCTGAATAAGAAAGGTCAGTATTGTAGCCCAACACCCCAGTCATCTTTGATTATTTGATTATATGATTATACACTAGCTCCCGTGCACTAGGAGGAAGGTGACTCTCGATTGGTCCATTTCCTCCAAGCCTGAAGAGGAGACAGAGGGAAGTACAGCTTATATTTTACTGTTTTATTTCTTCTTCAGTTAGAAGAGAGAGTGGGTGCAGTTACTATGAGCTCAACTGATTTTTCATACCTAGGTGAGAGTGTATTCAATAGAGGAAACGAAAATGCTAGTCATAGTGTGCAGAGTCAGTACATAGCTTAGATTCAGACACTTTCAGGCTTTCAAACCTTCATCATGGTTTGCGAATTTGTTTCCTACTCCTTCTGGACAATTCATCACAGACTCGGTGGCTTAAAACAACAGAAATTCTTTCTACCACTGCTCTGAAGGCCAGAAGTTGAATTAATTTCACCGGGATGACATCACGATGGCAACAAGGCTGTACCCCCTCCAGGTGCTCTAGGGAGACATCAATCCTCGCTTCTTACCACTTTGGTTGCTGCCTGCAGGTTTTTGGCTTGTGACTACAGTACTCTAACCCCTGCTTCAGTGGTTTTGTTGATTTCTCTTTTTCATGTCTTCAAACCTCCCTCTGCTTCCTCTTAAGAGTACACATGTGACTACATTTAAGCCCATATAACCCAGGATTATCTCTTCATCTGTAGACTCTTAATCATATCTTCATGTTTTTAATATATCCCCCCTCCTTTTTCACCTGACATTTATTTGTTGCCTATCATTTTGCCTATCACAGTTGGCAAAGTTGGTGCTTTCCTTTGCCATCTGAGAAAATAATTCATAAATTAGGCAGACTCCAATCATGAAAATAGAAACCACTTCAGTTATTTTATTTGCTCAGTGTTTAAAATTTTTATTGTAGAAATTATGGAAACAATTTACTCTTTGAGGTACAGTTATATCTGTGAATATTGAATTAAAATTTTTTTAAGTTTATTTATTTACTTTGAGAGATAGTGAGCACAAGTAGGAGAAGAGCAGCAAGGAGAGACAGAATCCCAAGCAGGCTCCATACCATCAGCGCACAGCCCGATGCAGGGCTTAGACTCATGAACTGTGAGATCATGACCTGAGCTGAGATCAAGAGTCGGACACTTTATGGACTGTGCTACCCAGGTGTCCCTCAATTTTAACATATACTGTAGATTCATCTAACCGTTATACAATCATGACATCATTGCTCCACCCAAATCCTTTGATCTGTAACTTTCTAATCACACTCTCTCCCATCCATAACTTTTTGCACACCTCGTTTGTTCTATGATATTTTTATCTTATGAGAATGTCATATGAATGGAACCAGACAATACATAGTCTTTTGACAATCCTGCGTCTCAGTGGGAGGAAGCACCTGTCACCTGTGTGATGTCTACCTCTGCCACTCTGTTCTCTGTCCCTGATTTTTTCAACTTTTAAGTTAGCTTTAGAAATAACTCATCATGTCAAGTGTTTGGACTCTTAGAAATTAAATGTATAGTTCCAGAAAAGAAACAGTAAAGCCATTAATAATGGAGTAGTTCAATGGACTGTTGGATTAACTCATGTATTCAGGTTAAGACATTGTTCTTTATATAAGTCTAGTTGTAGGAACTCTATACTAATTTTAACATTTTAAGACAAATTTTATTGATTAAAAATCATCTTACTCATATTATTTTGGACATGGTTAATTTTTGGTTTTGTCAGGAGTTGACATGAAATAACGTATCTAACATTTTTTTTTACCTTTGCTTCAGTAATTATGGTTTTGCAGAGCTGAACTATAGTGTTAGAATTGGTATCGTCTTGAATAAAGGCCATATTATTAGTGAGAGAACAAAGTCAGATAATTCTGAAATATAACATTTACCATTAAAGTGGGAATATATTTCTAAAAGGACAAAGACAAAAGAATGCAAAGAAGAGCATGAGAATCCGTGGTGCCAAACATCACAGAGAATTTTCTTCTAAATGGCCTTGAATGGGGTTGTCTGCTTTGTGCTATAATATGTTTATGTCAAGTTTATGGGTTGGCACTCACTTCTGTGAATGGTCTGCTTCTGCAGATTCTCTCAAGAACCTCAGTTTAAGATTTCTTTTTTTTTTTTTAATTTTTTAATGTTTTATTTATTTCTAGGAGAGAGAGAGAGACAGCATGAGCAGGGGAGGGTCAGAGAGAGAGGGAGATACAGACTCTGAAACAGGCTCCAGGCTCTGAGGTCCGACGCGGGACTCGAACCCAGGAACCGCGAGATCATGACCTAAGCGAAAGTCGGACGCTTAACCGATTAAGCCACCCAGGCGCCCCTCAGTTTAAGATTTCTAATATGAGCAACATTTTCCATTCTTGTCAATGAAGGATCCACGAGGTCGTAAGAGTTGGTAAATGTGTAACCAAGGACCCATTTCTAGTAGTTTAACTGCTGAACTGGTAAAAAAAAAAAAAGTGCCTAATAAGGTCATTTTACACATTTCAGTGGCAGTATTTCTCTGGATTTTTGTTCAGAGCTGATTAAATGAAAGTCCAGAGAGCACCTGTGCCTGGGATAAAAGGAAGAGTGTGAAAGATTTATTTATCCAGCTCCGTTTGTGAGGATTGGAAAATGTATGGGTTGAGACATCTGAGTTACGTGGGCTGCAGAGGGCAGTTTATGGTGAGACAGTACAGCACTTTGTGAGGGAAGGACGCAGGGCCGCGGGGGCTAAAGCTGCCATGCACCAGGCCACACTAGTTCTGCTACGGTACCCCATTTCAGTTTTCTTTTTAAGTTTATGTATTTATTTTGAGAGAGATGGACAGAGAGTGAGCGAGCAGGCCGAGAGAGGGAGAGACAGAATCCAAAGTGGACTCAGAGCTGTCAGCACAGAGCCCGAAGGGGGTGGGAGGGTGGAGGAAGCCTGAAGTCACAAACTGTGAGATCAGGACCTGGACCGAGATCAAGAGTTGGATGCTTGACTGACTGAGACACCCAGGCGACCCCATTTCACTTTTAATATTCCATTTGTTGTTTCACTATAAGAGAAGATTGGGGCTGGGGGTGATAGTAGAGGTGACGTTTCTGTGTGAGGGGAGACCTTACCTAACTGTCCCAGAGAAATTTGTTTTGTTATAGAGAGATTATTAGAAATGGCACAGGTGTAAACACAGAATCTACTTGATATTTAACTCTTTTTTGTGATTGCTGTGATTTTATGATAGGAGAGTGCTTCGATCCATGTCATAAATAAATAAAATGTTGTTAGCAGAACACACTCATAGCTCATGATGGGAATGCAATTGTGTATGTTCCTTATGGAGATACTCAAGTGCTTCCTTGGGACAGAATTCCAGACCATATTCCAGCTTTCCAGATTCATGGGATTTTGTTGGCCTCATGACAGGCGCGAACAGCCCCGTGTCGGCCATCCTAGGAAGTTTCCCAAGCAGTGTTTGGTTAATGTTGCAACCAATACGTCCCTTCTGTGATGCGTGGTCTCTGCAGATGTTTACAAGTGTTCCTTGGAGATCATTTGGCGCCACCAGGCAGCTGTCCTGGCTTCAGTAGATCTTCTCATGGATTCAGCAAGTCAATCATTTTTAGTCACTCTTTACAAAATTGGGGCCAAGTTTTCTATATCTCAGATGGAATTATTGAACTTTTCCATGGATTTGTCTTTTTGTTCTGTAAGAGGTGCTTGCATAAGAACCTTGGTCAAAAAGTTGTGTTCAGTATGATGATTGCCTCATTTTTCCTACCTTCTACAATGTCTTTTGTATAATGACTTTGTCTTTATGACAAGTTTTTTTAATGCTTATTTATTTTTGAGAGGGAGAGAGAGACCGTAAGATCATGACCTTAGCCTAAGTTTGATGCTCAACTGACTGAATCACCCAGGTGCCACTATGACAAAAAGTTTTTGAATGGCATGAAAACATCTAATACTTCAGGAATTTGCTGTCCCTTTCTAATAGGATGCAGGGGAGGGTTAAGAAATGTTAGAAAGTTAAGAAACTTCATTGTCTTTATAGTATTTGGAAGCTATTAACTACATTAAAAGCATTGACTGATACTGACTACATAAATTTTTGTAAACTGACATGACCTGGAGCTATCCACTAGTTTAGCCACTTGAATTAATGCTGTTTCTGCTAAATGATTGGATTTTATAAAGGAGTCTGGGGTGGTAATTGCATGACCTGTCTGGTATTGTCTCTTTCAGTGTTTAAGATAAGATTATTAAAAATCTATTAATTCAGAATCTGGTCTAGGAGTCTCCA